GATACAACCATGTTTTTGATTACATTGTTCTCGGGCCAGTCCCACTGTCTGTCTCTCAACATCCTAGAAAGCAGTGTCACAAGCAGTGGCCCACGTCAACAGCTTCCTCAGCTCAAGTGCTGACTGAATAGCACAATTTTCTGACTGAAAATGGGAAAACATTTCTGGTCCCCAGCCGGTTATGGAGAAGAGAAGCTTGCCTTCCCACTGCCTGTGTGGTGGCTGCTAAAAAAGGTAAAAGGACTTTCGGCTGAATACCAGGCCAGCTTTATGTTCATTGTAACTATCTTCTAAAAACAACACTGATGAAAAGGTCAGCTAAAAAAGCTAAATTCCCAACCAAGGTAATTCAGGAACTCTGAGGATAAGAACAAAGCACGTAACACCTTTTTGTGTTCAGCAAAGTTCTGTGTTGTGTGCCATTTCCTAACAGCAGCAGTGCCACACTGTTTGGCGGGACTGATATCTCCTCAGGAGGGTATCTAACCAACATTTTTAGAAACAATTTGCATGGTGGGTCTCATGTGGCACCGAGCGCTGGCACTTCAAAGCACTGAGTGCTTCAGCTTTTGCCAGAGCTGACTCACAGGTCAGTCGCTTCTGTCACACACAGCGGCAAGTGGCTTTAATCACTTTAATCACTCTGGCTGTCATTTGCATGCAGAGAGCTGGCCAAGCTCTACACGCAGCGAGGCTGCACAGCTTGCAAGTGTTATCTGGACACAGACAGGTTTCTGTTCACGGACAGACTGCATGACCGAGACAGGAAGCCCGGACCAGTGCACAGCCAGACTGTGCGTCTGAGGAGAAACCTTGCCCAGCTCATCCCACAGCCAGGCCGCCTAAAGAGAGAGCTGGCTCGGGGAAATCCAGCTGTGAAGAGGGCAGACAAAGCATGATGGTACACTAGCCCACTCTCTGGCTAAAATACATCTTCTCCAGAGACACGGCCTGAAGCCTATCACATGTAAAACACAGTGAAATAAAGACTGATGCATGAGCTGGCCAACTCCTGCAGGAAGGAGTAAACTGGCTCCATCTTTGGTGAGATATTAACTGTCTATTTACTGGTTTTTTAATGCAATAAAGCACATGAGTTGAAAATGAGAAGTACTGGCTGGCAATACTTTCTTGACCTTGTTATGCAAGGGTGCTGAGAGCCCCTAGACATATTGCACCACAGCAGAGAGAATCCTTCTCCTTTCTCTGAAATCCAGCTGAGCAAGTGAGAGAGCCTGGAGATTGACTTGAGATAACTCATCCTTTCAGAGCAAGCTGAAAGACTTAAAGACCTTATCCCTCACCCTACAGGTTCACTCCACACAGCCCATCGAAATAGAGCACCAAAACAAGCCCTCTTTTTTCACTGCAATGTTCAAGACAGTCTATACATCGCTGTGCACTGTCCACTGCAGAGACCACTCAGATGAATAAATTCTATTCTCTGCAGAGGAAAGCCAATGCTATTTGCTTCCATAAATCCTGCCAAGCACTGAATTCCCACCAGACTCATCAGCCCAAATCCACTGGGGTCAGGCAGCAGCAGCCCTTTGCACTTGAGGACAGGGAATGCTGCAGGTGTGCCACAAGGCTGTAAAAGGGCAGAGGGAGGCAAGGAAAACTTGGCAGACCTTGTTTGGATGTTTTTTTTCCTCTTGGCACCTGAGATACCGCCGTGTGTTCCCAGCGGTGGCAGGGGGACTGAGGAATGATCTCCCACTCTCTCTACCAGGTTCACTTTGACTCTCCTGCCACAGGGGCTGTGTGGCTCCAGTAACATGTACCCTTCCTATAATAGGAGGGATGGCCACATTCACCAAATACATATATCTAAAGCCAGAACATGAATTTTTTGTTTTCTGAGCAAAATAATAACAATAATAAAGAATTGCTAGCCCTGCTTGCCACATCCTATCTTCTTTCCTTTCTATCCTTTTTTTTCCTGCCCCCGTGGCACTTATTGTTTGTTACTTCCACGTGCTCTCTATGGTATCCCTTCTTTCCTGTGCTGACCCCACCAACCACCTCCTGCCTGTTCCCTGTCATGCCCTGCTGTTCCCCAGTAACACCATTCACACACTTATACCCTACCACCACCCCCACTCATCCCTTTGACTGCATCAAATAGATCAAGTAGAGCTCCCAGGCTCTCCAAGGGCAGGACTGAAAATGGAGAGAAACATGCAGTTTGTGTGCGTGCACACACATGTTGGTAGGGACAGAAAAGAGCAATTTATAATGTCTCTGTTTTAGCCATAAAAAACAAAATGAGTTTGTTACATCTTGTTTTCCTCATCCCCTTTTCTTTCCTAAGATATTTCTTCTAAACCATTTTTGACCCTTTCTTCCATACTCTTCTCACTCGTGCAGAGCAGCTCCTGTCTTTTTCCCTCCAACGTGTTCCACTCCTGCCCCTCGCCTGAACAAGTTGTATAATCCTGCATACACAAAGACAACCTTTAGCACAGTCTCTTCTCTCATAACTCACTCCTTTTCTCCCTCTGGTTTTCTCCTCAGCACTCTGCCCTGAAACATCCCTTGTCCTGTACTACACACAAGGCCACCTGTATGGCTTTATTTGCTGGAGTGGTTGTCACTCCCAAGCTCAACCACCTACCTGAGCTGAATATCTGCACATCAGGGGTTCAGAGCACCCCTTTTTCTTTTTATTTTTCTTTTTTTTTTTTCCAGGAGAAGGCAGCAGCAGAAGGCTCTGTGTGTCTGGGATCCAGAGGAGAGGCAGGAATCTCTGTCCGTGCTCTGCAGGCAAGAGGAATGACGGAGGAAAAATTATTTTGTTCTGCCTGTATAGGACAGCAGATAAATGGTAGGAGAGGGATGTGTGGTGTGTTTTTCTTCCTGAATTCAGCCCAACAGAATGATCCATCCGGACTTCTACAAGCTGTGGGTGCTGTAAGGGCAGATTGTAGTTGCACAGTAAGTTAATTTGGGTTTCTCAGTGGTACATTGCAGGACATACTTGGTAGGATTGAAGTGGAAAAATGAAAATTCACCGTCTTTCAGGGCAAGTTGAATCAAGTCTCAGTATTACCCCAGTTAAAAACATCTCTTTATACAAATCTTTGTAAGGATACTGAGCACAAAGTGGTAGCTACAATAAGGTATAGCTCAGTGTTTATTTGGGTAAGTAATGCAATTAAGTGGCCTTCAGTGGAATGGTGTTCAACTAGGAAAACCAAGTCTTGCAGAAGAGAGGGCTCTGACGTACAGAGCTTGCAGTGTGCAAGAGATAAGACCTGAGCCCTGCCTAATGGCAAATCATCCTATAGTCTTTGCTGTCTACACCAGTTCGAGATAGTCCCCGCTTGCTGTAATTAAATGACAAAGTTTCTCTTGGGGAAAGCTGGGCCACAAACACCTGAGGTGACACAGAACCAGCCCTTGAGACTGATTTGGCAGTGGGCAGGGACAGCGGGGCTGATGGTGCCACAACCACCCTTTGAACCACAGAATTGTTCAGGTTGGAAAAGACCTTTAAGAAGGTCTAAACTAACCACTAACCCAGCACTGCCGCGTGCACCGTTAAACCACGTCCTCAAGTGCCATATCCACGTGGGTTTTTTTGAACACTTCCAGGATCTGATGGACTTCCACAGGCAGACAAGGCAGGGGCGACGCCAGGGGACGGCTGCTGCGGGGCACCGTGCCATGGGCTATCCCGGGTCACCCGGACCCCGCAGGACGGACCGGCTTCGAGCGGTGGGTGCCGGAGGGTGGGTGGGCAGCGCTTTTGTGCGGGGCTGGCTCTGATGCAGCCGCCGGGAACCGCCGGGAGCCGCCGAGAAGGGCCGGGAACCGCTGCCGGGAGCCGCCGGAGCCGCGTCCCGCCAGCGCCCCCCGCAGCCCGACGGGATCCCTGTCCCGATGGACCGGGGGAGCCGCTCCTGCCGGCCCATCGACACGTGATTGATTGCCAGGGAATTCTGCGGGCCCAGGCCAGCGCTGCGAGGTTCGACAGGACCAACACTTCGGTCACAACAACCCCACGGGGCGCTGCAGGCTGGGGACAGAGCGGCTGGAAAGCGGCCCGGTGGAACAGGCCTGGGGGGTGCTGGTCCACAGCAGCTGGACACGAGCCAGCGTGTGCCCAGGGGGCCAAGAAGGCCAATGGCATCGTGGCCTGTATCAGGAACACTGTGACCAGCTGGATCAGCTCCCCCTGTACTCGGCACTGGTGAGGCCGCACCTCGAGCGCTGTGTCCAGTTCTGGGCCCTCACTCCAGGAAAGACATCGAGGTGCTGGAGCGTGTCCAGAGAAGGGCAGTGGAGCTGGGGAAGGGTCTGGAGCACAGGTCCTATAAGAAGTAGCTGAGGGAGCTGGGGAGAATCAGCCTGAAGCAAAGGAGGCTCGGGGATGACCTTATCACTCTCTCCAACTCCCTGAAAGGAGGCTGTAGCCGGGGGGTGTCGGGCTCGTCTCCCAGCAATAAGACGAGAGGACACAGCCTTAAGCTGTGCCAGGGGCGGTTTAGGTTGGACATTAGGAGTAATTTCCTCATGGAAAGGGTGATCAGACATTGGAAGGGGCTGCCCAGGGAGGCGGTGGAGTCACGCTCCCTCGAGGTGTTTACGGACGGACTGGCCGTGGCGCTCAGTGCCATGGTCTGGCTGACACGGTGGTGGTCGGTCACAGGTCGGACTCGGTGATCTCAGAGGTCTTTTCCCACCTATTCATCCTGTGACCTTGCGATTCTGAACAGACTCTCACTGACTGCCGGGCTGCTGGTGACTCCGCCCCGCCTCCCTCCCTCACAGACCGCCGGACGCCGTGTAAGCGCCCTCAGGGTTGTTTACAACATCTGCGCTCATGGACCCGCCCCCTGCGCTTCTCATTGGCCGAAGAGCGCGGACCTCGCGAGTCCATTGGCTGAGTGCGGACGGGCCAACCCCTCACTCCCAAAATTGCCTCTCATTGGTGAAGGCGGGCGGGCAGCGCCGTTCCCATTGGCGGGGAGCGGAGAGGCCCCGCCCCCGCGGCGCGCGGCCGGGGCTGTGCGGGACGCGGCCGGCGCGGCCCGTCAGTCGGTGGCGGGGACGCTGCGGGGAGCGATGTCCGAGTGCGCGGCTGAGAGGGGGAGGATGGCGGGGCTGCTGCTCCTCTGCGCGGCCTCGGCGCTGCTGTTGGCGGCCGTGGGGGCCATCCCGCCGCCCGAGGAGGCGGCACGCATGGCACGCTTCGTCCTGCACAGCTGCGACTGGGGCGCGCTGGCCACGCTATCGGCGCAGGAGGGGCTGCGCGGCCGCCCCTTCGCCAACATCTTCTCCATCAGCGACGGGCCTCCCGGGCCCTTCGGCGGCAGCGGCGTCCCCTACCTGTACCTGACGGACATGGAGATCTCCGTGCAGGACCTGGAGGTGAGCGGGGCGAGGGGTGTGAACAGCGTGAGCAGTGGCCACCCACGGGACACCCAGAGGAGCGCCCGGGGTACTGAGGCAGTGTCGCGTTTTGCTTGGTTGCCTGCGCTTTTTCATCTCACTGGCAAGCGCTGGTTGGAGTTTCTTTTATTTTTCAAGTTCACATTAGCCTTGCGAAGGCAGCGCGGCAGCACTTGAGTTGACAGAATCCCAGAATCTTAGAGTTGGAAGGGACCTCTGGAGATCATCCTGATGCCTAGGCAGGGTCACCTGGAGCAGGTGACACAGGAACGCATCCAGGCTGGTTTGGAATGTCTCCAGAGAGGAAGACTCCACACCTTCCTAGGCAGCTGTTCTAGTACTCTGCCACTCTCAGCGTAAAGTTGTTCCTTGTGTTCAGGTGAAACTTCTTGTGGTTTAGTTTGTGGCTATTCCATGGATGTCACCTCATTTATTATTATCCCTTGAGCAATTATTATCCCTTGAACAGCTGAGCATGAGCAGTGCTGTCCGTGTTGACACTCAAAAGGCCTCCTGAGAAGTTCCTGCTCATCATGGCCTTGAGAAATGGCAGAAGCAGCACCAAACAGAGGAAGTGGCTGGAACTTCCAGAACCACCGAGCAGAGAAATAAGGCGCCACAGAACGTCACCAAAAAAAAAAAATAAAATCAAAAGGACTGGAAATTGGCAGTGTGGGTCTTAAACAAAGAGGGCTCCTGCACAGGCTGCTGAAGGAATAGTGATTAAATCTCTGGAGCTTACCGTAAAGGGAAGCTCACAAGGAAAGGCAGCATTGGCATGCTGTGGCTCTGAGCGTGTGTAATTGGCCTTGTCCCAGATCTCTTGCCTGCCTGTGGCCAAGGGAGTTGACTAAAAACTTAGGGACATAGCAATCGTGTGCCTCCTTTACAAGAAAACTTTTTGTTCCAGTAGCTGTGCAGTGTTAGTAAAAGAAACACAAACCACAAAATAATCGAAAATTTCCTATTGGCTTTGTTTTATCATAAACCCTTTTTGTTTGTTCCCTGCCAGATTTTACTTTGTTACATTAAAATGCTTTAATTATGTATCTGAGTGCTGTAGAAATTTATCTTGTATAGCATCTCCCCCTCCACCCCAGCTACAGCCTTTTGTTTTCAGAAAAACGTAAAAACCTCGGTGTGAACTGCTATTGGACGTTTCCCTTCAGAAGGCTCCTCAACAGATCCTTATTTTGCTGCTACAGGGCAGGAACACTTGACGTGTGATAGTCACGTGCAAGGGAGAAGGCGCTGAATAATCATGAGTCAGCTTTTTCTGTAGTTAAGCAACTTCCCATCTGTCAGGTGGTGGCTCCTGTTTCACGAGTTTGCTGGCACTCTGCCTAGTGTTTGAGTGGCTTTTGGGGGTTTCTTTTGGACATGAGCTCTTCTAGTGAAATTTCTCAAAGCAGGTGAACTTTCCTTGCTGGGAGATAATGAATCTTGGATGTGACACTCTGCATTAGGGAGTCCTGTTTTGCACCAATACTTTTCAAGCCACACTCACCAAATTAGTTTTAGAAAAACAATCAGATACAGATTCTTTAATTTTTCAAGTTAGGTGTTTCTCTTAGGTTTTAAGAGTGTGTCTAAAATTCACTTTAAATTTCAAAAGAGCTGACTGGCTTAGAGCAGCTTGTTTTGAAGGGAGGAGTTATTTGATTTTGGTTTAACTAATATTATTAACAGCTGTGAAATTCAGTTGGTTACCTTCTCAGTTACTCTTTGTCCTTCCACCAGAATTAATGAAATTCACTGTATGTCCTTTTTTTCTGTACTGTATGTAGTTATAAGAATATGTCATCATTTGAAGGTGAAATAGCTGGACTGTATATTGAGTTCAGAGTTTTGAGGAGTGCAGTTTTGTGACATTTGCATTTTATGCTAAAAAGCTTCAGCACACTTCAAAACTGGGCATTCTCTCAGATTCAGAGCTCATCTAAGTAGGCTTTCAGATACAGTCAGGAAAAGGTGATGACAGCTTTATTCTTTTTGGCAGTAATACCGAGCTGAAGAAACTACCAAGAGCTGAATAAAGTACCAAGAGCTGAAAATGTGGCGGGGATGACATTTTTCTTGCAAAAAGCATGTAAACCTCTTATCTTATTTCTTGCATTTCAGGTCAATTCAAATGCCTCCTTAACTGTGTCTTTGGCACAGACTCCTTACTGCAGGAGGCACAGATATGATCCCCAGAATCCCCTCTGTGCCCACATAATCTTCGTTGGGAGCATTGTGAAGGTAAGCAGCTGAAAGCTGGCACTGGACAAGGTTTTGTGCATCAAGTAGTGTTCTTTGGTGGGAGGAGAAGAGAAAGATTAGAAATTCTGTGCAAAAGCATGTGAAGAGATGTTATGTGCTGTGATATCCCAAGGCTGGTTCGTAGTTTGAGGAAAATGAAGTTTGCATTGATATTTGCAGGAGCTTTGTTGGCATGTTTTTAACAAGGAATTTGAGGGGACAACACTGTAATCTAGGAAGTCTCCCTCCTTCCCCTAGACGTGTTCTGAAACTAAGAAGTCTAAGACAACTCACTTGGAAAAGCCTTCATACTTCATTCACATCTCTCATGCTCAGCTAAATTCTTTGGTCCATGCGTTGTGACAAACGTGCTTCTGAAACTTTGTTGAAATAAATATTGGACTGAGCAATGAAGTTACAATATTAAAGTTACAACAATAAAGTAACAGTATTAGAGACAAAGAAAGTGCAGTGTATATCTGGTGGCATTGCTGCCAGGGCATATTCTTCCATGTACCAGTACTTTGGCATCTCATGGAAGGAATTTAGAACTGCATGTGTTATTCATTGAAGATTTTAATCCCGTCATTGAGGACAATGATTGAGGATGAGAAACAGTCATCATTGGATGACTTAGATCTTAGATAATAGTCTAAATGTTAGTGTTTTCACACCTCTGTGTTTGCACATTGCACTCAGCAGTCTTTCAGTTGCTTTCCTGAGTTTCTCATTGACAATAGAGTTGGGTTATTTTAGTTAATTCTTCTCATACCATACTCGGAGCTCCAACTTGTTAATTTAACTCTTTAAATGTTTGCATATTGCACACTGTATGTTAAGTGCTGTCACACTTTTCAGCTTCCCTTCTCTGTAGGTTCTGCTGTACCATCCTATTTGTGTGTGTGTGTGTTTGCAAAGGACTGAACACAGTTGAGATCTGTGTCAGTTTGAATGAGCATGTGCAGAGGAGATAAAATTACACGTAAAACATCACTTTGTAATAATTCAGCAAGAATCCATACTCCTCTGTTTTTGTGTTTTGTTGAAAGACTTATTCTTATGTTGATGAAGTACTTTCTTGCTCATGCTATTTTTAAAAGCATGTTAAAATCAGCTGCCTTGGAACTTTTATCTGTCTCACATACACCACACTGAAGATGAGTGAACTCTGCCGCAGTAATGAGTCCCCTGTGACAGGGCATGGCAGAACTGAAAAGAGCACACTGCAGTCAGCAGTGTTTTTTTTAAACTAAAATCTGTCTTTACGTGACTACCTTACTGTAATACTTTGCTATTTTTTTTTGTTTAGGTGAATGATTCAGAAGCAGTCTTGGCAAAAAAAGCATTATTCAGTCGCCACCCTGAAATGGAAAGTTGGCCTAAGGATCATGATTGGTTCTTTGCCAAATTCAACATCACCAATATCTGGGTCCTCGACTACTTTGGTGGATTGAAAATTGTGACACCAGAAGAATATTACAGTGTCAAACCTTAGTAAGTCCTGGAGTTTTTCATGCCTAACCCTCGCTGTATTTGAAACCTGTAAAACTTCTCCTGATTGTTAACAGTATGTACTATATACTACCTGTCTCTGGTTTTTATATGCATTTATGTCTTTTCTCTAAGTGGTCTACTGGATGCAGTGTCTGAAGTCATAAGGTATGTTTGAAGAGGGGATCCAACTGTGTAACAATATCAAATATAGTATCTGTAGAACTGTACATGATTAACTGCACCTCAGCTTAAGTAGTTTCTTGGGAGGAGGGACTCCTGTAGTGGGCACAGTCCTCTGAATTAATTGCAAGACAGATGATGTTTTGGTGTAATAATTAAAAGCAGCGAGACTATTCAGCATTTTTGAAGCTGTATTAATGGGATCGCAGCAATATTGCTAATATATTTCAGAACAAAATTGCTGTTGAATCTATCATTATGATATTAAAGTATAGAGAAATTGTGTTCTTTTGTCTACATAAAAGTCTTGAAAACTTTCAAATGTATTTTAGCTCAGTCAGCAATTATGCAGTCATTTCACTCTTATTCTTACTCCTTGTAGGTGGGAGAAGATCCGTGTGATGCTGATGTGGAAATGAATTTACTTCGGCTGTTTCATGAAAGATTTGTTTTTCCTGTGTATTGTAGAGCTGAATTAATAACACAGTAAATCAAACACCTCACGTTGTTAATGAGCATGTATTACCCTTATAAGGCAGATTTAACTTCTCACTAACTTGAATCATGTCGTGCTCAAAAACCTTTGTGCATGAGCCAAAACTAAATTTTATTCATTGGATGTGATTTTGGAAAGGTGGCTGACAGTCTGCATTCAGAAGTGTTGTGTTTACTGGAATCCAAAGGATTAGTCCAGTTCTAAAGCTTTCAATGCCTTAGTTGAATAATATGTTTGTGAGCACTCTCCAATTCTGTTTTATTTTTAATAACCAGTTTAGTTTAGAATTTTATGGCAAAGAACCACAGGATGGCTCAGCTGACTCGGCTCAGTGGAATGGAAAGCACTGCTTGTGTTACAAGGGTAAATGATGTGCTGAGTTCCCAAATCCTGTTAAGAATTTCCTTTGCACACTGACACACTCGCTCGTTTGAGCCGTTTTTTTATTTTGCTGCCTATGCTGAATGTGCTGTAGGATACAGTTGTATTTATGCAAACTGCACATGTACCTCAGGATAAGTTCTTGGTACCTCTTCAGTGGTTACATGCCCTGACCCTTTAATAGAAGCAGGTTGATAATACCTCAAGTATCTGACTTGAGTATAAGAAGAGTAGTGGCTTGTAAATTCAGTGACACTCTTGTAAAGGATAAATGTTTTTTGATTAGGATTCTGAAATCTTCAGCTTTAGCAAGGTGTCAGTTTTTATTTCCCTCAACAGTAGAACTGAGAAGATTTTTGGGTTTGGAAGCCTTACACATCACTTCTGGGTTAGTAACCCAGAAGTGAAAAATAAGCAATACAGTATGACACACATGATTCATGATTTGTAGAGAATGAAAATTAATGAAAGGTGTGCATAGTTATTTCTGTGTTAAAATAACTTGCACACAACCACAAAAAAAACCCCAAATTAACACCTTTTTACATTCTTTCTCATCTGCTGTGTGCTAAGTTCACAAACACTAAAAACTATTCATGAATAACTAAGTTGGTTTTACAATGAGCAAATATTACCTAGTTGACCTAGAATGTGAGAATTTAGACTCCTTAAAGGCAGATTCTTATATAGAACAGTGGGATTTCTCATATAAAATCCCTACATCTTAATGTTGTTGTTATATCACTCCTTTTCTCAAATACTGGAATGATTTGTGAAAATATTTGTTATGTGACTTATTAAGTTTTCCTTCTCCAGAAAGGGAGGGAAGGTACTTTTTACTGTTCTTCTATTTTAAAACTAATTTAGAGTAAAAAAAACTTTACAATATGGAAACAATTTATGTTGAACAGGTAATACTGATATTTAATATGAAATTGAAAAGTATTTTTATATAAGGCATGACAGTTGTGGAAACTCATATGAATCTTTGTCATGGACTTAATCTTTACTGTGAGAACACCTGAATGCATTACATGTCACCCTGTAACTTCTCATGTGTGAGACTGGTGATGCTGAGCTTTTGTTAAAATTAAAATATTTTTTGACAAGCGGTGTGAAGTGTTATTTATTGCACGTTTGAGAATTCTTCTCTCCCTCCTGCTCTCTTTCATACAGGCACTCTCTCTTCAACGTTTGTGTTTTACTGTTTCTCTGGAGTCTTTCATGCTTGCAAGGATAAGAGGGGAAAACATCCCTATTTACACGTGGCTTTCCACTCCATGGATGAAACACTCTTTGTGTTTCACTTTCTTTCCTGCATCTAATACTGTGAAATGGAACATAATAACAGTGGAGTTTGTGAAGGTGAATGTAAGGAAGCCTTATTTGATTATGCTTTTCAGCCAGAGCTTCTGCATTTTGACATGAAATCTGTGTCATTAGCAGGCAGGTTTTCAGCCACCCCCAGGAAAGCAGGGCTCCATCACATCTTATCAATTACTTGGAAAGACAAATGCCATCATTCTTGACATTCCTTCTTCCTCCAGCAGCTTTCATTGCTGAGCATGACATCCTGTGGCCTGGGCTGTTCCTCTGGTCAGTTGGGGTCAGCTGTTCCAGGCGTGTCCCTTCTCAGCTGTTCCTGCACCCCCAGACTCCTCGCTGGTAGGGCAGGACATAAATCATAACAAACATTTGTGTGTTATCAGGGCTGTTTAAAGCACAAATTCAAAACATAGCCCCAAACAAGCTGCTATGAAAAAAAAAAAAGAAAACAAAACTCTCAATTCCAGCCAAAAGCAGTCACCACCTTCAAAAGTACCACTTCCATAAGGCTTGCTCTGTGTCTGGTTGTTTTGTTGCACTAATACCAATTCCCAAGTCCTTTCTGATTGTGAGTGGAAGGACTTTATTCAGTAACAATCTTAGACTGGTTTTGTTATATTGGATTTTTTCGGAATAATTTTAGATCATCCAAATCTCTTCACATTTGAAATTTGAAAGGACCTCAACCAGATGGGGTTTTTTTTGGAAAGTGGTGAACAACAGAATGGTTAAGATAGATCAAAATCTCAAATCCAGGTCTGTACATCTGAGAAGCACTATCTGAAATTGTGTCTGTGCATCTCATTGAACATTTTTTGTGTGTTTTTATATGTAGAAGTGAAATGTAAAGGAGATGAGGGTATCAATCTCCCCTAGTGATAGGTATGTAAATGTTAATATCACTGACTCAAGAAAGTCACCAACTTGTCCTGTTTTTTCCTTGCCTCTTCTCCCTGTGTGCACCTTTGTTCTATTTGGCTCATTCAGGAACTTGCTTGTGAGCATGTTTCCTTTTTTCCTCATATCCAGAAGCAATATTGTGGCTTAGAAGAGGCCAAGGATAAGAAATTGATACAACTGCAAGCAATGAATCAGTGTTTCAACCTCTGACTGTGTCCTCTGCCATGGCGTGGTGGAACTATCTGGGCATATTCTCGACAGCAATGAATCAGCCACCATATCCAGGGAGAGAAGTACCTGCCTTCATAGATAGGAATCTGAGTCACGGGATAATTTAGGCACCTCACTAATTCACAGGATGTTTGTTAGCTGGGAATCTAATAAGGGTAATCACAGCCTGTCTCTCTAATGATACAGTCATATTCTTCCTTCTGCTTCCTACTGCATGTTCTTCCATCTTTGTGTTTCTTCTTGGCATTCAATTCTTGATTTTCAATTTCTCTCTTACATTTTAATGCAAGAGTTGTGCCCAGGAGGTTCTCGCAACGCGCTACATCATTACAAACTAGAACTTAAATATATCAGGCATTTGTTTAATCTTTTAGTCAGTTCTCTCTGGAATTAATTTCTTAGCTATTTAGTGATCTTTGCAATAAAATAGAGGTAGCTCAGGGCATTAGATTAACTTGTTTTCAAAAGGCTTTTCCTGAGTAAAACTGTTGAATCTAGATTAAAAATCCAGTAAACTGGTATATTATTGTTGAACACAAGAGGGTGCCATAGATTCACATTCGGCTTGAGTGTTAAATGTTTAATACTTAAAAGTGGCTATTGAATTCATCATAACTCAAAGATGCTGGAAAAGCAAACGACGGGGGTATAATACGAGCAAATTCTTTTTCTACAGTGCTTTACATTATGAATGCTTCCCTTCATAAACACAGCAGCCTGCTAGCTGGGAAAAAAAAAAAAGGAAGCATTCATCATTTTTTTGTGTTTTGTAATCATTTTGTGCTGTGGAGAGCCAGAAGTAATATCCATGAAAATGATTTAAAGGGTTTTAAATTAAGAAACTCTAGTAAAGGAAATGGAGACAGGTATAGAATGCCTCGGAACATCAGCTGGGAGCTGCCACCTCCAGACTCTGCAGTGTTTTTTTCTGCCGGTATAAGAATCCAAAGCGAGAGTGTTCATTAGCGTGGCAGTGCTTTGGCTTAGGCTTATTGTTAGCTGGATTAAACCACTGGTTTGTAATTTCCAGCAGTTAATTAATCTTGCATTCTTTCAGTGCCCCTGGTCCCTCTCCAGTGATTTGGGCTGCCTGTGCAGGTGTTTGGGTGGCGAGGTAGAGCTGGGAAAGGCCTGGAGCTTCCCCTCTTTGCCTGGGGCCTGTGCCAGAGCTCCCAGTGTGGGGTTTTGTATCTTGGTGTTAAGGCCCCTGCCCTGCCATCCCTTCCAGCTCCTCTGCTCCGGTAGAGCAGTTGGTCCTTGGTGCTCCCCAATAGTTGTATTTTGCCTGCTGGGAAGCTCAGTCCATGAGCCTCTCAAGCAAGACTCCTGGAGTTGCTCCCAGGGCTTTTTGACTTAAGAACTTTTGTGTCTAGAGGCTTCCTCTGGGTTTCTGAGTTGAATTACTGTGTAAGAAGATTAGACTGTGAGACTGTTTGTTCTGGGTATAGTGGTTAATGTTCTTCATAGCCTGGTTTTCTATGGAGATAAAGCTCAGGTAACATGTTGTCTGGGTACTTGTTTTTGTCAGATTTGTTTTTACTTAGTTGGATTCAGATCTGAAATCAGAAGTCTGACCTTGAAGCCACCCGGTCCCTATCTATGTCACAACAACTGGGAGCTCAAGAGAGGAAACAAAACCCAGATCATGTCTATTAAAGTTACAAAAGTAATGAGTTTTAAAAATTGGAGTTTCGTTAGTTGTGCTGATCGTAGGGCTGGAGCCTTCTGGTTGAGGGCAACCAGGTATTCGTTTAGTATCTGAAGGGGTGAGATTTTGTATTATTTAGTGGATGGTAGGTTTTAATCAAAGAACCTGATAGTTGTAATGATTGCTCTGAGTTATTTTTTCCCTCTAGCTCTTAATATCCTATAGAAAAGCCTTAACAATTCCCCGCTACTATTTGCTTCTGATTCCTGCAGCTGTTAGCATTTCTTTGGCATAGAATTTCTGCAGTTTAAACAAAACAGATGCCATGTTCGTGGCGGTGGGTCCAACAGCTGACGTGGGTCTTGTCGAGAGAGGAAAGTCTCTCCCTCAACCTCAGTAATTTGTCGTTGTGTGTGTACCCATTGAGGTCTAGAATTGCTTCACCTTATTTTTGCTGCTGCCACTGACTCAGATTGTAAACTTTGCACCCTCAGTTCCCCCCCCCCCCCCCCCCCCATTTATAAAAATGTAAATAGATGACAGTTAGCAAGATTCATGTAATAATACTTGTAAATCATCTGGGGAATGTTTTTATGCCAGTGGAACTTATTTAACATCACCCAGTGCTAAAAAGTAACTGTTTCTAGATTGAAAGGTAGCAATTGTTTAGAGATAAGAAACAGAGAAATAGTTGCAGTATATGATTATAAGAACAATGTGTACTTCTTTTCTGTCATCATTTAGCCAAAAGCAGTCGCCTAATCAAGCATCAATTGGATTTTTGATTTGTTTTAAAAGCTTAAACGAATTTCAGATAATTTAATTAAGTTTTCCCCCAGATGAGCATTTGAAAAATGCAGAAGAAGTATGTGTTAGGGATGAAGGGAGGAAGAAAATAAAGGAAATGAAGATACTTGTCACATGCATTAAAATCTGACTTCACAATATTTTTATATTCATAAAATGCATAACCTTACTGATAAATTACATTCTGTACAGCCATGCAAGAAAATAATGGAGCTGCTCTATAATTAAAAAGAGTGTTTCCAAAATGTGTTTAGTGGTAAATTCCCAGGATTTTTCTGCATATACTTTAATGTAATTGGGGAATTTCACCCGCAATTAACAGGTGAAAATGCTGATGATGCAAGAGAGCTCAGTTTGACTAGCCTAAAGGAAAAGAAACCTTGTTCTTCCTTCTTAAGATATGGCACAAGCAGTGCTCTCTTGAGTGCATTAAAAAAAATAATAAACCAGAACAGATCATAAAGGCTTCATTGAGGAGGAAAGAATAGGACAATACAGATTCAGTAGTCTCAAAACTGAGCATGCAAAGAGCGTGTGTTTTAACTTTCTACTAACAACTCCTTTAGAGGTTTCCAAAACCCTTGTTGCACTGAAAATTTTAAGACCATAGGGGGAACAGGAAATGGTTAGTCACAGAAATCCTCAAAATAATAAATAGAAACTTGTTCTTGCACCACACCAGGGCCTGTTGATAACATCTCATAGGAAACGTGCTCATGGCTGTCTTTATGGTACTGCACAGGTGTTCCTTTTTATGTTTGGGGATTTTTTTCCCTCTTGTTGCATGTGTCAGGGTTTCTATTTGTTCAACGCAGCTGCAAGGAGTGGTGACAGTCAAGTGGATTTTCCTCAGAAAAGTAGTATTTTCACACACAGAGGGGAGCAGTCGTAGCAAGACCAACTTCTCTTGCCTCCCTGTTGGGAGCTGCCAAAGCAAGACCTGTAGTTAGACCTGTCTTCTTTCCAGCTCTCCATTTGCAATGCTGGCAAAAGTGCAGGGCAGGGACTAATCCTCTTGGAATGCAGCAATTATCACTAAATAAGTATTAATTGCTGCATTCCAAGAGGATTAGCACAGTTGAACCCAATTATGGCAAATCGAAGCTAGAGTGTAAGGCACTACAGTGCATTGAAATGCAGTGAAGCAATGTAGGACTGTCAGTCTGCAGCGTTTTGTCAATAAAAATTGTGGGCTTGCACACTACAAACAGCAGACCATTTCAGTGTATTAGTCTCCTGCATGAATGGCATGTCTGGCTGGAGGCTACAGCTTGCCCACCAGTGAAAATTGTCACTTATTTAACACCCATAATCTTCACGTGAACATCTCCAGAAATGTTTTTAATACTTGTTGGGTTGGTTACGGTGCTGCCAGGTGTCACTCCCTGCTGGATCAGGGGCAGGACTGTGCGGTCTGTCTGGATGCTCCTGTCTCTAAAGTTGGCCAGCTCCTCCATCAGGTGATGTAGGAATTAATTTTGCCTGCAAGTGCTACCTGTATCAAATAGGCTTAGGAGAGCTTCTGATAACTGAGCTGTGCTCAATCCCAGCAGTCTGCAGCGATGATTACAGGCATATCTCTGTAGTAGCAACACACGAGCCAGAGGGCAGTGTGTAGTTATTTTTTTAATCCTCAGCTTGACTGTGGTGTGGGTTTGTTTTTTAGTTTTCATTTATTTCCTGTTAAAACTGCAAACACTGCTGCTTTTTTTTCTTTTTTTTTTTTTTTTTTTTTTTTTTTTTTTTTTTTTTTTTTTGTAGCACTGTCAAAGCATAACCAGTAAGTGTGAAAAGGGAATGTTTCTAGGGATGAATCAGCCCCTTACATTACAGCTGCTCCAGGATTTCTTGTGTCCAGAGGAAGAATGGCATATGGATGCACAGAAGCTGTTGAACGTATACCTTAACTATTTTATGAAAGATGTTATCCTTGCAGATAATGAGCTGCACCTTAACTGGCATTAAACACACTGACTTGTACTTGGGGACCACTTCAGTTCCCTCACCCATTCTGTTTCAGGAACCACAGATCAAATATTTGCAGTCTTCCCAGTGCAGGTAATTCTCGGAAATGCGCTTTCCTCCACCTGTATGTTTAGATAAAAAGTCAAGTTTAGCTGAGAGCTTTTTTTTTTTTGGAACGCAGCAGGGAGGGTTTTATGTTTCCACTGTGGCCTTGACTGTATTGAGAAAAATAGCTTCTGGTTCAGCTGAACTAGGGTTGGCATTCATTTCTAGTCCAGGGTTAACGAAGTTCTTACGGTCTGAGTGAAGTGAGTAAACTGAAATGTCAGTATGGTTTAAACTGTTGGTAAAAATGCTTGTGTAAGATTGTCCAGTGCACAGTGTGGCAGGAGATGCCGAAGGTTTTATGTGCTCTGTAGTTCCTAGAGATGCAAAGAATTGACAGGCTGAAAAGAAGGCGACACTGAGCAAACAATTCCTCACTGTGTAATTGCAAGCTGTGTGAACACAGAAAAGCTTTCTCCGGGAGACCACTTCCCCTTTTTCTTTTCCTGTACTGCTCCACTGCATATGATTTGCATCTCCCATGCCATGCTTGTGGTGTGAATAACTCATAATAAAAGAATGAGTGCTCTTTTGTATACTTTCATTGTATTTAAATTATAATGATAAGTTTGTCTTTATTCAAAAGCTGAGGGATGGGGAGGTGAGAATTTCTAGAACTGTCATGCAAAGCCTTTTTCTGACTCTACCCACACTTCCAGCTGAAGTCCATATACTCCATTCCTCTGACCTTTCCTTATCTAGACATCAAACCACACTGGCCCAACTGCTGTTCTCCCAGTGTGCCTGCTGTTGCCATTAATCTCCCTTTCTTATACAGCTCTTCATTTCTTTTCCTTACCTTTGGCCTCAACTCTTTATTCAAAGTGATAATTTGCTGGCTTTCTGCCGGAGGGAGAAGCTATGATCAATAACAGGAGGAGACAGGGGTCAGCAGAATAGTGATGAGCAGTGCCATCTGCTCCTCTGAAAATACCGTTACCCAAAAATATCAATAACTAGGATGGTATTATTTTGGCTTTTGGGTAAGACGACTGTGAGATTTAGGCAGCCTGCAGTGAGAGCAGGGGTCTTTTCCTGCTCACTAATTCCTTGTTTCAGCCAATCTTCTGTTGCACAGAGGAGTGGACAGAAAGGGCTTTATCCAGCTTGTGTTGGAATATAGAACATGTACCTGAGCACAGCCATTTCTGGGACTAATGACACCTTTTTCAGGTTCAGTGCACGGCAGCTCTCATGGGCTGTGCTTTGCTTTCTGCCGGCTGTGACTCAGAGCCCATCCCCAGCCTTTCCTTGTAGCTTTTGGGGTAGAAGAACCACAAAGAAAACCCTCCCCAAGCCTGAGGAGAGAGCAGAGGCTCAGCAGTACTGTCTAGGTATCATAGAATGGCATGCTGCACTAGGTTTTGGGTGCTGGAGTAATACTAGTGTCTAGTAACTTCTGTGTTGACTAGCACAATATTTACTACATAAAAGCAAAGGATGGTTTTATCAAAGCCTTTGTTACTACAGACAGCAAGGTGACGAATTTCCTCCAAGAACTTCAATTTACTTTTCTTTCAAAAGATTATAGATACTTACTTCATGTGTACACAATGACTCTCATGCTGCCATACTCTTGGGAAATTGTTATCACCAGCCCTGTTCCCATACCTGCTGGAGATGCACATTCCTCTTTCTTTTCTAAGAATTAGAAATGGGGGAAAAAAAATATTCAATTACACACTGGTGCTTCCTCTCAGCCTAAGCCCTGACCCTGAAGTGTATTAGTAGTGCTACTGTTATAAACACTAAACACTTGGTGTTCTGTTGAGCTAGATGTGTTTTAATGGGAGTGAGGCTGAGCCTTAAGGTTCATCTAATTAACATTTTCAAGATTTTCTAATTCATGGTTGTTTAAAATGAGCTTTTAGTTATTGTTGTTAATAAAAGTGGAAATTTTTATTTGTCCACATTTGAAGAGAGCACAATAATGTGAGATTTCTTACAAACTGGGAGGTGGCATCACTGTGTCAAGTTTTGTGATTTTCATGTAAATGCCCTACATGCTTTGCCGAGAAATGACTTGTCTGATACCTCCTCCTCGGGAAGTTTTAGAAAAAACCTCCAGATTTCACTTTTCTTAGTTTCATTTTGTTATGCTGGGCTTTTTCCCTGCTCTATTGCTCTAAATGGATCCCAGTCAGCTGCCCCATGTAGGCAGGCACAGGAGAGCCAAGGGGTGGCAGGGGCTTAGGGCAATGTGGGAATCACTGCAGCCATCGTGCTGGATGGACAAATGGAGCTGTGGGAAGCCAGGCCTCTCCCACGTGGCTGCTGGGCAGACCTGCTTGGTTTTGTCACTCCAAGGACTGCAACATGGGGCTGAAAAACCTTATCTCTCAGACTGCAGTCACCTTCAGACCTGCTCCTGGGATGTGCTGGTGCGCCTTGGGATCTGTTGCTGGAGGACAGCTCCAAGCAGCAGGCAGGTTGTATCCCGTGACCCACTCAGCAGGTAGGAGTGTCAGGCATAGCTACAGGCTGCCAGGCTTTCTGTTCCAAACGGAGTGAGGAAGAGATGTACACTGTGCTCTCCCACAGGGATGACCCAGGCTCTGCTCCCTACGGGCTGTGGGGACTCGGGGGACAAAACAGCTCTCGAGCTCTGCAGGCACTGACACCCCTTCAAAATACAAGAGTGCCACGTGTTCACATTAAAAAACATCTGCATTTCAAAGATAGGTACCTCTGCAGAGAGCCAGGCAGGACCAGCTGAGTCCAGCTGAGACCAGCTGACATATTTTATGTCCTGTGGGTGCTCTCTGCAAGGACAGGCAAAGCCCAGCTCTCCCTGGTGCTGTCCACCCCACAGCCCTCAGAGCGCAGCCGCTTCCAGTTGCTCGTGGCAAAGCTGTATTTCCACTAGATTTAGAAATGAGCTTTACATCCATACCACTTTAGCCAGTTATGGTTCAAGAGCAACTTATAGCTTCCAATTTTAAACTACTATTTATGCCATGTTTTGCACAGTGGGAATAGTTAAGTAGATCCCTTTTGAAGTCAGGCCAAACTGGATACCAGGTACAGAGACCAGCAGCTGCCGCCTTGGGGATGACCCAGGAAGCACTAGACAAAGTGGAAAAAAACCACCCCGCCGAAAACTATCTCACGAAGAGCAAAAGGGTGAATAAAAATACAAAAGGAAACCCCAAACATCAACACTGAGAACGCAAACCCCAGCCCTGAGAGGCTGTGAAGGCAGAGGAAGCCGGCAGGTGGACTCCAAAAGCCCTCATAGGAGGTGAGCTGCTTCCTGTGGCGGTGGCACACGAACAGAGCCCGTGCAGGAGCCGCTTCTCCTCCGTGCCTGTGGCCTCCTGCTCCCACAGCACCGTCCGGGCGAGCAAGATGAAGTGGAGGAGGATCACCATCCTTGCCACCCTCCAGGCACAGCTCCCAGCCACAGGTAAGGAGGGCTTTGGTTTCATGAGGGGCTATCTCAAAGCTCTTCTGAGGAAAGGGCACGACGTTCCTGCGGTGGGTTCCCCACCATTTTGGTAGCAGGAGGGTGTCTGCACGAGCACCTCAGCCACGTCTGTCCTCCTCCTCGTGGCTGGAATCATGGCCCGCTGGGACCAAGGCAGCAGGATCGGCTGTGTGGAACTTCCCTGGGGTAGAGAGATGCTATGGAGGGCTGGGATGAGATGCTGTTCTCCTGCTGGAGCACCTGCCACGGCTGAACAGCAACTCCTGATTAAATAAGGCCCTCAGCTGGGCAGCTTTCCTTGCAATTTAAAAGGGGAAATTTGAGACACTAATGAAAAACTAGTTGTTTGCAGTAATCTGCACAGGAGAGGCTTTTAATTTGAGTGAGGCAAGATGAGAGCCGTGCTGGTGGCCGGTTTGCAGCCCACGGCACACCCGGCAGGCGGGAAACGGGGGCACAGGTGGTGAGAGAAAGGGTAGGGACCTTCCTTCCACGCCCCTGCCTTCATGCTTGCCTCCACTAGGCACAGCACAAAATTTAAGCCACTTTTACCTCCGTGTGTTTACTTGTGTGCTGCATACACTGGCCCCGGTCGGGCACAAAGTGAAGCAGCTTCAGTGGGCACAAATCTTCGGAAATCGTGTCAAGTTTGGGAAGGAGAAATTTATTTCTTAGTAAGCAGCATAGTAGATCAAAAGAGCAACAAAATTTACATCTGGAGAGGGCCTCAGCTGAGGTCTGAATGTGGAGAATTCAGGCCACGTTTGAGCTTGCATTAAAGCAAAATCCACCGGAAGAGTTTCACCCGTGACAGACGCCCCAACTGCATGTAACAAACACAGCATCCTTCAACTGGAGAGCTTTGGTGACTGCCACAGACTTTATTTCAGAGTTTTCTGGAGATGACAGGAGGGTTTTGCAGCTGCTTGCTAACGCCATCGGACCAGTTCTGGTTAATTTGTGGAGGTTCTGTTTCAGGAGAGTTTTAAGTGGGGTTTTATGCTTTGTGGCAGACCCTGCCTTCTGATCACCCTCTGTTCAACCTCTGGGGCCTCTGTCCCTCCCTGACACCCAAGTATGATCCTGTATTTACAGCATACTTCTGGTACTTCTATTCTGTACACTGCTCTGTATCCACAGATGCACTTAAGGGCTACGAAGGTATGGAAATTACTTCAGGTCAAAATGCACCTGCAAAAACATCTTTTTTGCATCTCCTCCTTTTAATCTGTCACAGAGTACCAGTAGTTCAGGCCCCTCTTTGTACATTTTCAGCAGAAAATGTTGACTGAAAAATACGTAGTGCAGTTTGCAGGTGGGTAAAACCCATAGGGGTCTCTGGTGCAAAGCTCTTATTCACACTCACAAGGAATACATGGGACTGAGTTTCAAACTGGATACTGTTGTCGCTGGGTTGGAGACATTTGCCTATGGGTTTGAGGGAAACAATTTTTGACTGGATACCTGGAATAGCTTGAAGAATTTAGCCTAAATATTGAAGTATTTAGCCTAAGAAGAAATAGAAAAAATACAGGTCAAAACGTGTGGAATTGTTGCTACATTACTGATGCAAAATAGACAGTAACAAAAATGAAAGATTGTCATGAATGTAGTTCGAAGATGAGACTGAAAAAAAAAAGGGGGGTTCTGCTCAGAGATATGAACAGAAACAAATATTTTCTGCTGCCTGGAGTGTTTTCAAGCTTCCTTAGAGTTCACTTCTAGAGTGACTTCTAGAGAAATTAACATTTTTTTTTTTTTTTAATAAAACAAGCTGGGAGTGGACAGGCTCAGAAAGCTGGGTATCTCCTTACAGTGAGTTCATTCCACTTCACTGTAATGTGTTTGTGCTTATTCTTCAAATGGTTGGTTGAAAGATGCCACCAAGATTAGCACTGATGAACTTGCAAAACCTTTCTTTTTGAACTTTTGAGTATTGGAGTAAATGTCACGCATGAGAAAAAGAAATGTTTTAAAATAAGTAATTCTAGAGATGGACCCTGAATTCTGATGCAGATTTTCAATTATTGACACCAGACCACAAATTTCAAAATGCTCAGATTTGACCTTTAAGCAGTAACAGAAGGAAGCCATATCATATACACATTTAATTTTCCTTATTTCCCCCTTCAAAGGTACAGAGGTGTACATCTGGAAGTTCAGTTGAGGTCCCATTATAACCCCTCTTTTAAAAACTGCATAAAAATTAACAATTTGAATTTCTGAGCAGATGACTTTGTCAGTCATGTTGTTCACTGAGATATAATAATGGCCAGTCTTCGCGAGCGAAGATTTTGGGAAAGGTCATTAACCCTTCCAGCCTGCGCAGTGGATTTTTAGGTGAGACACAGCGTGCGCTGAACTGAGCCCACCCTTTAGTCCTGAGGTTCATCTGCCGGGGCCGAGCAAAGCTTGGACAGTGGCAGTGAGGTCCCCAGGATGTAGGTTTGTTTAGAGTGACCTTCTCTTAGGTGGATTGCCTTCCACGGCTGACGAGCTCCACCTGCCCAGGGGGCCGGGAATCGAACCCGGGTCGCAGCGGTGAGAGTCAGACACTCTAACCACTAGACCACCAGTAAGAAGAATATTAAAAGACTTCTACCCAAATATCACAACTAAAATGGCAAAAATCTTCATACTGTTCACAGAGCTTTTACTCTGAAGTATGACAGGCTTCAATAGCAATAAAACAGTCCTGTGGGCAATATTATAGAATTGCTCCCTGCTTTTTTTAAGGCTGAGACGATACTTTGGTTTGTACAAATACACATCACACATATGTAAATGAATATCTGTGCAAGAGTTTAAGAATAGCTCTTCCCTGTTCATCACTTCTTTACAAACCCACTTTTCTCAGAATTCTCTGCTAACCAGAACTGGGCATTGTCCTGTTTTTTGCTGACTCCATGGGAACTAAAAATGTCAGTCTTTACCAGATATTACTTGCACAGCTTATTTTCTCAGTATTTTTCTGCTCTGCATGACTGTGTGTTCTGCCCATTGGGTGCCATGATGCCAGCAGCCTTTTTTCAGTCAGTTCACAGAAAGGTAGCAGGTCTTAGTGTTAATTTTTTTCCTTCCCTTTCATCAGATGATTTCGCTGGTCTACAGACTACAAGATTTCCAAACCAGAAGTTGTTTACAAGCTTGTCTGAGAAATCCAAACAAGTAAATTCAGGCTATTTCCGCCACCATCCCCACGTCCTTAGGCGCCGTCTGAAGTTCTCCTGGCTGAATTCTTGTTACACCTAGGGGGAGAAAAATATTTAAAGGCTTCATTTTACGTGTTTTATTTCCTTTTTCTCCTGCCTGTTCACAATGACTCATTAATAATTCATGGGGGAAAACTATGAACTGGCACATTGGTGAATGGAACAAAATGCAGGCAATGTAGCCTTTCTTTGTAAAGGGACGTTTCTGAGCTCTTGCAGTGCCATGTTCAATTCTCTAATGCTTGTTACAGAGTAAGTGCTTTCCATCTGAGCCCTTCTGAGCAAAATTCCTAATGAGTGAAGTAACAAGCTAACGATTGCATTCTTTTGGGGTTTTTATGTGTGCTAGATGGGAAGGATATACAAAATAGAGAAGGCCGTCTGCAAAATATATTTATATTTCTTCTGTGTGTGTGTGTCCTGCTTAAGTAAGGCTATGTGGATAAAAAACCAAAGTGGGGTTAGAAAAGAGCTTCACTAGCAGCTTAAAGGGGATAAGAAATTCATTTATAAATGAACATTCACGTGAGAAACATTTTTGACAGCCATTTTCTGTTGTTCACACAGACCTTGAACTGTGACTAGCACGATGGGTAAACCCTGCAATAAGGAAAAATACATAGCTAGGAAACAATTTATTTCTGTGTATCTCCAAACTCTAACCAGTGTCCCTTTAAAAAAGAAAGAATGAATACTTGTTTGCACAATTGCAGGCAACCACTGAATCCCCCTCCCCTTCCCCTGTTCACCATATATTTGAATGTGTATATTGTGCGTGGAACTGTAAGATGCATCAGCTATTCTGGCAAGAAAATAGAACACATTTTTAAGGTGGCATGAATAGAAGATATAACTTGTTAAAATGCTACTTAAAATACATATCCTATTAAAGGTGTCTGCTTTTTCCATGTGGATGTGTACTTGTAAATGTATTGCTGATTTTCACTGTTCTGCTGACACGACTTTAGCCAACGACTAAGTTAAAGTTTCACTGCTGTTTCTTTTTAGTGCTAATAAATACATGCTATTCCAGATTTTGTGAGAAGCTGAAATTTTGCAGATTTTTCTAATTTGCGCTCCTGTATAAGGTAATACTTCGGGACTCAGTTTGAATATTGTTTTCTTAATTAAATTAATCTCTGGTCCTTTAAAGAATACATAGTATTTTTAGCTTTTAAAGTATGACAGTCCAAATCAGATTTTTTTTTTTTTCAGGAAAGCAACGAATGCATTTATTTCTACTTTGTCCTATGCAGTTGGTCTATAACTTCATATTAGAGATAAAATGTGCAGGCAAATGAAAAGCTTAGTTTGCAGTTCTTCGATCTACTCACTCGAACGCACACATCTCGGGAGGCAGTGGAAATGCCTGTGTTTATCCACAGTGGATATATCCATCTTGGTGAAAGTTAGACTTACCAATATGCAGTTGTTCAGTCCTTTGGCAGTTGAGCTATTAAAAATAGAAGTAAAACCAGCTCTCCCGAGCCTCAGAGATCACCAGCACGGTGTCTGTACAACTTCTGTTTCAGTGGTAGAAGCCATCTCGATTCTTGAATCATGTAAATTGGAAATATTTCATTCCCTACAGATTTTCTAGGAATAAACAAACCACCAAGCAAACTTTGGAAGCCCTTCACATATTTTTTTCTCAGTTCTTTGTTATAAGCCTGTTAAGTCTTACAAGAAGAAGAACAGCAAGTTTGGAGCTTTCCCATCTTTATGTACTTTCAGTATATGAGAGTATGTTAAACACTGCGCTTCTGG